ACGCTCAGGTGCCATGCATAGGACATGACCGAGCCATCTCAACTGGCGCAACAAAACCAGTTTGTTGAAGTCAATTCTCGCATTCCCCAAGATGCGAAGTCGAACGTCATTACTAGTAACTCGATGTTGCCACCAAACACGAGCAATCCTTCCTAAGCAACCGTTATCGAAGGCAGTAAGACGACGCATGTCTTCCACGTGCATCGGCCAGGACTCGCAGCCATACAACAATACTGAGCGAACAGATGCGCTGTAAACGCAGCCCTTTAGCGAGAATGAGACGTCGCAACGACGCCACAAGTGTCTCAGATTTACAAATGCTGATCGAGCTTTAGTGATACGAAGAGAAACTTTGTTCATGGTGCCGTCAGCAGGAACACAGCATCCAGAGTAGACGGAACTCTCTCTCTCTCTCTGTTTAAGTTGCACACCTTCGAGAGTGAGCACGGGAGCAGATGAAAGCCAATCCTTGTGCAGTACTTTACACTTTGATTGGGCGAAGCTCATGCCATACTTAGATGCTTCAACCGCCAAATGATCCAGAATGTGTTGCATACCCTGAGGATCGTCACCAAAGAAGGCGATATCATCAGCATAATCTAAGTCGGTGGCGCGCTCACCCGGTAGAATATTTAGGTCAAAATGTTGAAGACGTTCTAGAGCATTCAACAGAACGTCTTCGATTACGAAGTTGAAGAGGAATGGGGACATAGGGCAGTCCTGTCGCACACCGCTATTGACAGCGAATTGCAAGGAAAAGCTTGCCGTAGACCCTCATTCTGCCGGATGTATGAAGATAAAGTGCTCATAAAATGGTGGTATATTTCTCTGGCACCCCGTTTTTTAGCAAGCAACACCATAAAGTAGGTCGATCAACGGAGTCAAAAGCTGCACGTGTCTAGGAATACAATGATAGTGGGCCTGTGATAAATGGGGCGATTTTCGAGGAGCTGGCGGAGCGTGAATATTCGATTCACGTATCCGTGGCCGGGACGGAAACCAGTTTGTTCTTCGCGGTAGTATGATGCACTTAGTGGGGATGGTCTGCGAAGGAGGATGGATGCCAATAGCTTGGAGGCAACCGAAATAAGACTGATCCCGCGAGGATTTACACATGAAGTGGGAGCGCCTTTTTTAAAAATCGGGACAATAATTGATTCGCCCCAAGAGGAAGCCACTTTCTCTTCGTGTCAGATTTTTGCGGACAGCGCGGTCAGCTGGTTAATGACCGCCACACCGCCGTACCTGAGCAGCTCGGGATGAAGTCCGTCTGAGCCGGCAGCCTGGAATCGCTTCAAGCGTCGTATCTCGAGGCAGACTTTCGCTTCGCTGAGTGGATTCAGTGGGATGAGCCAGGGTGGACAACAAGGTGTATTGCATATACTGATGGATGGGGGAGGCCAGTTGAACTGCGAGTGAAAGCGCTCGGCCCAGCCGTAAATACATCTCTGTTGGTTGGTAATCGGCGACTCATCCACCTCGCAGATAATCACTGACGTCAGGCTTTCTGAGGTCAGTGGACCGAATGAGTTGGAAAAGCTTGCGAGTGTTGCCAGAGAGGACAGCGGTCTCTATCTCTAAAGCATGCTCAGACTACCATGTCTCGCGATCCTTGCGTAGGTCTTGCTTGAGCAGCCGGTTGGCAGAACGGCGGCGGTCGTTGCAATCTGATTCCGCGGAGATACCTTTGCGACGTTTGAACAGCTCCAGAGAACGAGCAGAGATCCAAGACTTTAGGGGGCGTCGAGTTAGGCCGCAGCTTGACTGTCCGGAATTGGTCATCGCTTTCCGTTTGCAAATCCAGTGTTGCTCCACCTCTTGCGGTGGATTGCGACTGTGTGTGTATGCCAGTGAAGGCTGATATCTCACCTGGACAGAGTAATCAGTTAATCTGTTTACATCAATCATGTGGTGCTTCATGTTTTGGGACCCCCTAAAACACATGCAGATTTTCGCGCAGACCATTGCTTGCTCTGAAGTCAACGAAGGTGGACCAAAAGGACCTGCAGTCCGGTACGCTGCCGCGCCATCTGAAGCTAATTGTAATGTGATCAATTTGAGATCACGGATGTTTTGACGAAGGGGGACGCCACGTTGCGGAACGTTTTTGAGTTTGGGCCACTGATTGGTCGGCTTGATGCAGCTCTCGACCGTTGGTTTTTTGAGAGCAATCAATGTTCCCTTGTAAATATAGTTCCCCGTAACACACAACTTTATCAGCAATCAAACTATCCTTTCTTGACCATCCATGAACTAACATTGATTTGTACCGTGCGCAATCTGGCATCGTCGTCCCATTGTGTATTTTTGTTGATTATGTACTCGAAGTTGTCAGGTCAATCTTCAAATCAGGCTTGCGCCATGCTTGCTTTGGCTGTAGGTGATCCGTTACTTTCTTTGAAACAAAGTCGCAGCCCATTCGCCCCAAGTCTAATCAATTCTGGCCTGTCGATCTACCCAGTGAAGCTACCAGCTCATTAGCCAATACGTTGGTTGTGTCTGATTGACTAGATGTCTTCTCACTGCGCGTTCATTCCTTGCAGCCGATATCTCAGCTGCTATCATATTTGGTCCACGAAATCGAGTGTGATCCCTTCAAGCCCTGGTTTTCTGGAGCTTTTTGTAATACCAGAAGCAGAAAATATGACTGTCAACAGGCTACTGTTGGCTGCCAGCACTCACTGGCTGTACATCACCAGTGAGGCGTTTTGTTTGTTGCTCGGTACTGCAACTCCTTTGGGTATCTACAGTTTTTGGTTCAGCCAGCCGACGCACAAGAAAGTTCACTCGCATTACCGCAGATTCCTGCTAGGGTCTGTTTAGACTCGGCCACATCTAGTCTCCGCATGTTCCTCAGAACGCTTTATGTGTACTTTTCGGCTGCTGCGACATCTGAATTTATGACCACAAACAGCTGTAAATGCCTTCTAGCAACTTCCCACCCTTTCAACTAGATGACTTGGCTTGAAGGAAGGCGGTAGCAATCCATGGACTAATATGTGTTATCTGCCACCGTCAGTGACAATCCGTGGCCTCCGTGAGCTCGTAACTCGTAGGCCACTATTTCCCAAGACTGGGTTCTGGACATTTGCATCCAAACGGACTCAGTTCAATTTGCCCAACTGTCAACTTGTCACGCTGGGTGTTCTGAGCTCCTTAGAGTAATTTCACCCAGCGTAATACATTGGATCGCGGAGGTTTGGTAGCCATTGTGCAGCATCAAACTCCGATGTTCCAGAAATTGCGTCAAACAATAGGCATTCGATCTTCTTCACCACCTACCAGACATGACGCAGCCGCATGGTCTATGGCACTCCTGTATCCGGTTTCTTACACCTACCAGTTACTTTTCATTCCATTCGGATTAGTTTAACTCACTTTCTTCTTGATTCTACTTCTTCCACATTCTGTGTTCAACCTCATTTTCTTGACTTTGTTGTTTACTGTTATTTTGACGATGTGAGTCGTGACTGCTGGATTCACTACACTTTGCTGCTCAGACCATAGTTGTCTAATTGAACTGAACCGTTCTTCACCATCGGCGATACCCCGTCACTTTTAGTGGCCACGGTCCACTTGCAAACCGTTGAGCGACATGTCTCCCGTTATCCGCCATTTCTTGACGTTCATCAACCGAGCCGAGCTTGCAATGTCGGGGAGTACACTCTCCCTGATCCTCAGCCAATCGCTTCCATCATTTCAGTTACACACTTATAAAAATGGTATCAGCAGTATGTCGGTAGGTAATGCCGACGCTTTGCTGCCAGGCAACCACCAGCGGTAGAGCGTGGGCTACGGATATTGCGATTGTCGCCCGGTCACCTAAGCAGACTCTAATCCGCGCCCTTGGATTACAAGTCAGGCTCGTGGTCTTTTAGGCTACGGGTCGTTACATACTTATCAACCCACCTGTATTATTAATCAGTATTGCGCCGGATTTTGTAAAACATCAAAGTGGCTAGTCAGTGGGACGGTAAAAGGGTATGAGGAAACTCACCATCGGGATGAGTTAGGCAGGTTCTCGTCATCTTCCCCGATGGAGTCAGCGAATAAAGTGCTGCTGCGAAGTCATTGGTGCTGTTAAACTCGCCCCTCCCCCACGACCTCGATTTCAGTTATCTCATCGGATTATTCAAATTCGTGTTCATTCTTGCATTTTTGTTGGCATTATTGTTGTCACTTTTATCTGGATGACGCAGGTGAAGACAATTGAATTCATCGTACGGATCATGGCGTGCGAACTGAAGGATTCACCTGAAATCACACGATCGAGTACCCAAGTGCGGCGGTCCCATTTGCCGTCGCCCATTAGTGTTGTAAGTGCGGGGCGGCCGTCAAAGAACGGTGGCTAAAGATACGTGTAGCATTTAACTAGATGGGACTGCTGTATCCCAGCGTCCGAGTGAAAAGACACCAATAACTCCTCGATTGAACTATCTCAAACAAAGTTCCCAATTGTTCATATGGGGACTGTTCCGAGCCTAATGTGTGTGTGCCACTTTCTTGTCTATTTTTTAATTTCTTCTGTGTTCGAAATCTTTCGTCATTATGCTTCCTTGCTGTATCACTTTATTCCTTTTACTTCGGTCAACACATTTTTGTTTGTTGGCACGTCTGCTTTCCAACCATAAGGTCACCGGTTCGAATCCGCGTAGGGGTGGGCATCCTCGCGGTATACTCAGCCCGCGCGCGACTGATGGTGGGTCGGCCGGTGGCCGAGTGGTCGGCACGTTTGCTTTCCAACCATAAGGTCACCGGTTCGAATCCGCGTAGGGGTGGGCGTCCCCGCGGTATACTCAGCCCGCGCGCGACTAGTGGTGGTCGCGCGGCAGCGAAGCGCCGTTACGGCGTATAAGCTGACACCTTTCTTTTCTTTCTCCTTTGTTACTATGTGATCCACTCTGATTGTTTTTCCACACCCTCTATTTCCCTTTCATTGTTCGTTTAATCGCCCCTAACAGTTCTTTCTTGCATTGTTTCCATTCCCTACTCAACAAAAGGTCCTCGATCTGGAGGCGAAGTTACAAGAAGCAGAAAGAGAGTTCCAGTCAATGCAGGCTTCCATTGGCTACGGTCCCCCTGGAGCCGCTCCAGGTAGTGGCATTCTTGGGCGTGGTGACAGACCTGGCGTCGATGCGATTCCGCGACCACCGGCAAAATTCACATTGACTGGCCACCGATCCCCCATCACTCGCGTCGCCTTCCATCCCCATTACAATGTGTTTGTTTCGGCAAGCGAAGATGCAACTATAAAGGTCAGTTTGTTTAATCTATCGTAGCATTATCACTTGTGTGTGCCGGTTGGTCAACCAACTTTTTTGCTCAATATTCGACTCTAACCACTGGGTGTTCTCTGCATCCGTTTCGTCACCGTCCGTGGTACAAATATATGCAAATTGACATTGCTGTTCGCAGTCGTTTGTTGTTACTCGATAATACACCTTTTTACTGGTTTTCTCCGTCACATGCGTATAAATTAACGGATAGTACTTTCCGCTATGTTCTTGCACGATACGAAGGCGATTGATTTTCTTTTTTCTAGGCAACAGCTTATTGATTGGTGTCCAATGACAGTTTTCCTTACTTCACGTTCCACCCACTGGTTACTTATTTCCCTGTCCTTTTGATAATAACTCAACCGTTTAGCGATTAGAGATGACATTCGTTTGAGCTCGGCCTCTATTCAAACTCTTCTGCATACGCAATTTTATCGACGTTTGTATGCGTTTTTTCTTTCTTTATTGAGGCACATTCTCTGTTTGCAATTTGCACTCGCTACACTCTAATAACTGTTTCCCTCTTGCTTGTACTTTAACTCTCGAGAGTAGGTCGATATTGGGTAATTCTCTGGTATGAAAACAGGTAGTGGTTTATCTTACTTTTCTACGATCTGATAATGACTGTGATGTCCCTTGATGATTGAGCCACTTGTGCGAACTGCCCTGCTTTGGTTCTTTTGTGGTATCTAATCGAAGATTCTGCTTCGCATCAACTTCTAACTACCCTTTTGAGTTCTAAAAAGCGCTTAACTACCGTTTCATTCTATCGGAACTCGTCATTAGTGCGTTTCCACTTGTCCTGCTTGATGGGAACTAGCTTGTCTTGTAATCTGATCGCGCTTGTTCGAGCCTGCGTAGGGGACCGGGCAACCTTCGTAGGATCCTTAACCCACGTACGACTGGCGGTGATTGCGTGACAGCGAAGCTTCGGTACTGCGTACCGGTGTGCTGCTGATGCCTTTTTCAATTGCCCTCAACACCAGCGGCTTATTTCGGACGCCTGGGAAATTTACTTGGGAGACACTGTGAAGAATCGTCAGTTATTTGATCACAAATAATCAGTGAGTTCGCTGGAATAGCTACTAAAAATTCTCTCGTATTTTGCTACCGTTGGTGTAGGCCTTGACTCCATTGGCCACCCCTGTCCTCTGCCAGGTCCGTAAGTTGCATGGCAATGGAAGATAAGCTACGCTACATCGTAATTGTTTTAACTCATGACTGTACACCCCTTCACAGCTATGGTTGTGTCACATCCCACTGACGAATGACGTACGCCGGTGGAATCGGGAGCCTGTGGGTCCGGTTCCAAGTAGAGTTGATGCATGCGCGCCACAGACTTGTCCTGCCTCGAAATTGCACTGGACGCGAATTTCGACTTTTTAACTGTATGCAGGTCTGTATTTAATCTCAACAATCTAGCAACTAGACATGGAGATTAGCAGCTAAGGGGAATTTATCGTGGCATAGTAGTTGAAGATGGGCAACTCATTTCAGCTACTATGCCGCATGAAAAATGAGCATTTGACAAAAAATAGAACAAAACATTTTTAGTTCGTTTTTCAAACCCCGATTTTTCTCTTTTTTGTTATTATCCATGTTTGAAGTATTAAACCTATGAATCAGTACAATTATGTATACAATTCTTCCACTGATTCCGGTTGCGGGCCATGTCTTCAAGAGTGTTGGGCCATTGACACTCTTCATCTTTGGGTCCCCATCCTGGAAGACGTGCGGGTCCAACAGCGGCTAGACACGACGTCAGCGATTTCATGTGCTACCGCCATGTAGAAGGCTTACCACCACTCGGTCGCCTCCAGCCAGGTCCTTGACGAGCGAATAGAGCGCGACGCGGTAGACGCTCAGGTGCCATGCATAGGACATGACCGAGCCATCTCAACTGGCGCAACAAAACCAGTTTGTTGAAGTCAATTCTCGCATTCCCCAAGATGTGGCGTGGAATGTCATTACTATTAACTCGATTTTACTACCAAACACGAGCAATCCTTTCTAAGCAACCGCTATCGAAGGCAGAAAGACGACGCAAGCCTTGCACCCGTATCGGCCAGGACTCGCTCTTATACAGCAATACTGAACGTAGAGATGCGCTGTAAACGCGGGTTTTTAGCGAGAATGAGACGTCGCGACGACGTCACAAGTGCGTCAGAGTATATATATATATATATATATATATATATATATATATATATATATATATATATATATATATATATTCACAAGTCTGTAAGCCAACAAATATGCCATCCCAATCGTGGTGGTATGGGAAGAATGATGTGATGTTCAACGAGGAGAGAGAGAGTAAAACGTTGGAAAACTCTTTTTTCACTTTCATACACCCCGTTTTGAGATTTTTATGTTTTCATGTTTTGTTCAACATTAAAAAGCACAGGATGAAGAGATGGTAGAACAACATTGGCGCCACTGACTGCTATTGCGAGCCATATCCTCTATAACTTCTAACCAGTGGGAATCCGCTTCATGTGGTCCCCAGCCTGGAAGACGCACAGATCCAACTGACGCTAGATACAAAATTAGGATCTTCATACTCCTTTTCCAGGTCATCGGTTGTCTGCCGCTGCTCTTTTTTCATTCGCATCCTGGAAGTGCAAATAATGCGCGACGTGGAAGGCGGTGAGCCGGCATGCGCAGTACGTGACCAAGCCAGCTCAATTGCTGCTGGATGGTTATGCTCTAGTGACCAGGACTGTCCGCTCCCATGATTCTGTTTCTAACTTCCGCGTTGCTCACATGGTGTTGCAGCCATGCGCAAGCAATCGAACGCAAGCAGCGGTTGTCGAAAGTAGATAGTCGTCTCAACTCTTCCGATCGAACAGGCCAGGTCTTGCAACCGCACAGTAGAACAGCACAGACTGTGGCATTGTGCACTCGGCCTTTGAGCTTGAGACTGACATCGCGACGACGCCACAAGTGTCTCAGGTTAGTAAATGCAAGCGAGCTTTGGCAATTCGTTGTGAAATTTCATAGCCAATACCGCCACCAGCCGTAATGCGACTCCCGAGGTAAGTAAAGCTGTTAACGAGCTCCAGGCTGACACCCGAAATGGTGAGCCTAGGCACAGGAGCCTGCGAATCCTGGAGCAAAGCTTTACACTTGGATAGTGCGAAATACAGACCGTAGTTAGATGCCTCTATCGCTAAGCGGTTCAGAATGTTTTAAACAACCTGCACGTCGTCCCCCAGCAAAGCGATGTCATCAGCATAGTCCAGGTCCACGACTCTACTCCCGGTTAGAAGCTCAACGCCGCAGCTCCGGACTCCTTCCAATGCGCGATGTAGGACATCTTCAATGGCAAGGTTGAACAGGAACGGCGAGATAGGACAACCTTGGCGCACTTCACTGGTAACATGAAAGGAAGAACAAAGCCTTCCGTAAGCTCCAACTTTGCCAGATGTGTGACTATACAGCACTTTCAAGAGTATGACAAACTTGTCGGGAATGCCGTTCCGTAGCAGACAGTTCCACAGTGACGACCTATCTACTGAATCAAAAGCGGCTCGGATATCAAAAACACCACCATTGTTGGTCTTTGGTGGACATGACGATGTTCGAGAATTTGACGCAACGTGAAAATTTGATCAATGCAACCACGGCCAGAACGAAAGCCAGTCTGTTCCTTACGGCACAAACTCTCACGGGTAACTGAGAGCCTACACAGCAGAATGGACACAAAGAGCTTGGATGCGACAGAGATAAGTGAGATTCCTCGGTAGTTGGAGCATTCACTACGAGAGTCCTTGTGCATCGGAACCACAACTGATTCTCCCCATGAGTTAGGAACCTTCTCACCGCTCCATATCTTTGTGAACAGTGACAAACTTTCCGTGGCAATTAACTTCCCGCCATCTTTGAATAAAGCCGGAGGAAGACTGTCAAGGCCAGGAGCTTTGTGGCGTTTCAGAGGCTGGATTTCTCTCCGTATTTCTGCTTCAGTGGGAGGATCTATGCAGAATGACCAAGGATCAAATGATGGCAGTGGATGTGTAACCGGAGGTTGTGTTGGGCAATTAAACTGTAGTGCAAAGTGCTCTGCCCAGCCATCCAAGCGTCTGCGTAGGTTGGTGACCTTTGTACCGTCTGACTCACAGATGGTGTGACTGATGGCCTGAACCTTGCGTCCGGTGGAACTAATGAGACAAAACAACCTGCGGCTATTCCAAGCAGAGGCAGCAACTTCCATTTCATTGGCCTGATTCATCATCATTATACGTTATACACATCAGCTAGAGTTGGAAAACACCTCAGCTCCTGTGCCGCAATACATAAAGGGAAAGGAACATAAATACAACAGTTGCGTGCCAGCTGAGCTACCAGCAACGGATAGACATCGTTCCGGTAAGCTAGCAGCCGGCTACTAGGCAAAAAGAAAACTTATGTTTTACGTCACGAAATGAGATCGCAGCTGGAGGGGGAGGCTAAAAGGGATGGGGAGGGACAAAGAAACTCACAGCAGGAACGCCATTGAGATCGGCTCCTTGCCATGGCAGCAAGTGTAGCTTGCCAAACGTGTTCACCATCTTTTGGACCCCAACCAGTGAGCCGTGACGCTCCAACCGAGGCCAGCTCCGAAATGAGAGCCTCCATTCCTCTGGACCAAGTCATCGCTTGGCCACCCCTCCTCTTCTTCCATCCACATCCCCGCTGTGCAAACAACGCACGTCGCAGAAGTCGGTGGGCTGGCATGCGCAACACGTGACCCAGCCATCGAAGCTTGGTGCGTGAAATTTCGATGGTGAGCGGTTCATTTCCTTTTTCTGTGCCGTAAACAAGGCGTCGAACACGCTCCTTACTCACGCGGTGTTCCCACCAGATGGGAGCCAAACTGCGAAGGCACCGATGGTCGAACGTAACTAGCTTCTTTATGTCCACCGAGCTTATGGGCCAGGTTTCGCAACCGTGCAGTAGAGTCGAACGTGCCGCTGCATTGTACACTGTACGCT